AGAGCTTATAAAATTTCCAGTTTTACATAAACAAATTCCCAACCTACCTGAGCAAACCACACTGGCATCTTCTTGGTGCCTACAGTTGTGCACTGACCATCCACTGTGGGAGCATTGCCACAGGTAGGATTCACTTCCATCGCACTGCACATCATCCAGGAAAATGTTCCCTGATCCTGGAGAGAACTGTGCCTTTCCCAGAGCGAAGCGAGCATTTCCGCATCCCAGCTGCTGGCACACGACCTCCGCATCATTCATGTCCCAGAAATCGTCACAGACTGTTCCCCAGCTTCCTTGGTAATAGACTTCAACACGACCTTCACATCTGGTCCTACCATTTATCAGYCTCAGTGATATTTCTTTGAGAAAGAGAAGAGAAAGAGGTAAGACTTTGTTGGTTGCCAGACTCATGAATTAAAATTCTGTAGTAATTCTGGAATTGATCCAGTATATGACACTATATGTGACTCTCCTGGTGTTTAATTTGACTCTCCAGGAAAAGTGAAGAGAGCAGTGTGATTAGTGCCAGCTGATATGGCAATTGGCATATGGCAATTTGCAGTCTCTTCGTCTTGTCGTTTGAACCAAAGCTCTTCTGCTCAGGCTCGGCAGAGGTTCACATTTACCTAATTTAGTTTTTCATTCCCTGCTTAATTCTGATCATGGGGTTAATAAGAATGAAAGATATATGTTAGATAACCACTGGTGGGCATTTAACTATTGCTATATTAACAATGAAATATTAACTTTAATAGAAGCTGGATCAAGGCTTTATTTATGGAGATGTGTGATGRGGAGATGAAATTAATATACATCTTACACACAAAATGAGCACCATGATCTTCTCAAAGCTAAATAATCTTTTCTTCTAGTATTTTAATATCACTGAAAGGCTTCTGAGATTTTCTAAAATGTGTAAAATATCCTTCTTAGGTTTTGTGTGTGTGTGTGTGTGTGTGCGCGTGTGTGTGTGTGTGTTAGAGGTAACTCCATCCAACAGATATAATCATTAGTTTACTAATTAATGCAGTGCCTTTTTTAAGACTGTGCACTATAAAGAACGTTTATATGTGTAAAAGAAGATCTTTTACACATAAAAGGTCTCATCCTTTCAGTGCTCTGACCAAACACATATACCTTTCAGTTGCAGTTGTTAAACCTCTTTAAAGATCAAGAATACCTGGTTAGTATCATGAAAACTACATAAATAACCACTTTCACTGTGGTCAAATATGCTACATTTTAAGATACCCCTCTGATGCATAAACAAATAAACTATGTCTTTTGAATAAGATGTATATTTATGTTTTAGTTACATTTATTTCAAGATAGAAATGATCAAAYAAACAAGAAATTGAAATTACCAGGTATTTCAGTTCCAGTAGAAGCTGGACAAAATACACATTTATTATAAATTACTTCATCCTTCTTTACAAAATAGTTTTGCTTCAGAACGTGTTCAACAAAAGTCTTTGTAATTTGTGTTCTGAAGAGGATAAAAATGCTGAGACATGAGATTGATAACTGTCTTTCCTTGCTAGCAATTGGAAAATCAGCAGGAGGCAACTGCAACTTGTTTTTCCATCTAACACATACAGAAATTTTTTCAGGGTTAAGTTTAGATAAGCACCCAAAAGTCTGAGTCCCTTCTTCAAAGGGACCTCACAGAGTCTTGGTTCCTCTTTCTTATTGTTGYCTGTTTTTGTACTGCAAAGGAGCTSTGGCTTTCAGCCTTTGGATCTGGTCCCTGATCATCTCCCTCAAATAAACAGTCTACAGAAATTCAGTAGAAGCTTTGTCAAGGTCAGGCATGGGCAATTAGGACCTCAGACTCATGGAAAGAGTCCTGTGTGAAAGCTGGTTAGTTCTGTAAGGGCGGGATGTGCCTCGGGATTGACCCTCCTTTTTGACGCTCCTCTCTAGTCTGGCAGTAACCAAACACAATTGCTTAAAACAGTCTGCTAGGCTACAGGTGGGTAAAAATAGTGTGATTTTAGTACGAATATATCAGATAATCTCTGAATGACACCTTAATCTAATGCATAACTGGATGGAAGTTTGCAACRGCAAATATCGGTCAGACTGAAAATCAGGGAAATTGTGTAGGGAAGAGCCTTACTGGCAACAACTCTAGTTTAGGGGAGCAATTTTCAAATTGACAAAATTAAACATTAACCAAAGTATTTCTTATCGTGACATTTCTTGATAAAGCAAAAAGATCAGAGTGTACCTGAGCAAACGGCTGTGGCATCTYGCCAGCTGTCACAGCTCTGTCTATACCACCCCCTGTGAGAACATTCCCACAGGTAGTTCTCATTCCCTCTGCACTGCACATCATCCATGACGATATTTCTTGATCTGTGAGCAAAGGTGACTTTTCCTGAAGATGATACAGCATGTCCACAAGCCAGCTGGTTACAGACAACTTCTGCATCACTCATGTCCCAGGAATCATCACAAACAGTTCCCCAGGCTCTTTTGTAAAACACTTCAACATGCCCTTTGCATGGGTTCCATCCATTCACCAACCTCACTGACATTGCTTTGAGAGAAGAGAATTTCACTGAACCTGGGAACCTCATGGAAAAGCAGAATCGGGGCTCATGTGGGTTGGAAGGGAGGTCTCTAATCAAGCCACTGCTCCTAGCAAGTCTAATTAGAGGAGGTTGCTCATGGCCTTGTCYAGATGAGTTTTGACTGTATCCAAGGGTGGAGATACCAGCCTTTCCAGGTCCCTGTTTCAGCATCTAACCACCTCATCATATATTTTTTTTTTCCCCTACTTCAAGGTGGAATTTCCCAAATGCCAGCTTGTACCTGTTGCCTCTTGTCCAATTGCTGTGCACTTCTGAGAAGGGCCTGACTATTTTCTCTGCATCCTCCCAACAGGTAATTGCAATCAGCAATAAGAGCTCCCTTTGATCTTCCCTCCTTAAGGCTGAACAAGCCCAGGTCCCTCATCCTCTCCTTGTACACGTGGTGCTCCAGCTCTCTGACCGCCTTGATGACCCTTCTCTGGATTCACTCCAGTATGTCGGTGCCTCTCCGGTACTGGGAGCCCAGCACTACTCCATGTGTGGCCTCAGGAGGGCTGAGTGCAGAGGAAGCACCACCTCCCTCGACCTGCAGGCTCTGCTCTGCCTGGTGCAGCCCAGATGCCATCGGCATTCTTGGCCACAAGAGCACATTCTTGCTCATTCAGCTTGTTTTTCACCATGTCCCCAGGTCCAAAGATGCAATCTACCCCACTGTCTCTCAGCCTGTGCTTCATAATCTTACTGACACTTAATGTCAGAGAGATTGTTTTGTTAAGGATGAATGAAGGTGGTATAAAGCATGTCATTTCAGCAAAGCATTGCTCATTTCACTAGCTAGGCATGAATATGTATTTTCCATCTTCTTAGAAAGCTCCTTGTTTTTCAGTCTCTGGCACAAGGCTGTGCTGCCAGAGCACCCACCTATTTTATCTGAAGGCAATAATATTCCTGAATAACTGAAGCTCTGCAATATATTGTCCACAGCTTTACTGCAAGCAGYGGACTTTACGTGTGAACATTCCTCCGACACTAATGAAAAGCCAAGGCTCATTAACTCACACTTAACAATTAGATAGGATGCAATTTAGAGACGTTCTTGGCTTTATTTGCCATTAAAAACTACTAGAATAAAAAAAATGCATATGTTTCGTACCTGGTATATGCTGTTGCATTATTTTAAATGGAAGTCACATCCAATAGTAAAGGAGCAATGTGCAACCTTTTTAACCAGTGAACTTATGTATACATATATATTTTAAAGATAAAACTGCCAATATTAAAAGCAATGATACAGGATATTTACCAGACTCTTCAGGTCCTGTAGAACCTGTGAATGAATAAAAAAAGCAGAATAAAGCACCTTGTTTCAGGACTATTATATAGAACTACAGCAGAAGTTGGATACTTTCTGAAATATATCAATTTATGACTCAAGGAGATAATATGAATTTTCTAAGTGTTAGTATAATTAGTATAAGTAGTATAATTTATAAGTGTTATAACCAAGATGGTGTAATCACTAGGAAAAAAATAACATCCTCAAAATAAAAACAAGCAATATAATTTGCTAAAGTCAGAGGACTAGGGAAGAAATGTTGCTGAAACATAGAAGTATGCTGAGAAACTGAAACAGTGACAGCTGATGTTTCTCTTTTAATGGTTTCTTGCTGCCTTTCAGAGTCAGCAGAGTCAGTTCAGAAGACTCCGGTTAAAGAAGAAACTCAGTGAAGTATACCGCAGTGAAGACAGAAAAATTAAAGGTCTAAAATATCCTCTAAAGAGCATCAGTGACTCTCCTTTCAAGTCCATGAGTGTATGATAAGTGCAATGGGACTAATTTCTTGTATCCCTGTTGCCAATATGCGCAATTGGAGCAGAACATCAGGCTGTACTAATCCTATTAACTAGAAGAGGAAGAGGAGAGATTATTGCACAGAGAGTTCAATTTATCAATGTCCAACAGGCTGTTTCTCCCTGTAATCGCACAAGACATTATTTATTTTGCCTGTAGCACAATGATGCCTTTGTGCTAAAATTTCCAGAGATCAGCCATGCCAGATGATGCAAAGCCCATTCGGACCTGCCTCGTGTTGGCAATTCTCCCCYGGGATGGCTGCATTTGCTGACTTACCAGTTAAAAGTTAACCTTTTCAAGCAGAAGAGGAGCCTCCCCACCTCAGGGACAGCAGGAAATGGGTGATATATCAAAGCAGGTGACTGAATGTTTTTCCTTCAGCACCTGCTAGTCCTCATGGGCTGCCATGTGCAGGGTRCAAGCAGACGCCCTGTGTCATTGCCAGTGCCTTGCCTTGCCAGAGCTGCACTGTCAACGTGAAGTGTGACATTAGAGGTAGGTGAGCAGGGGTTTAGCATGCAGGGAGCAAAGCAGAAGGCTTTTGGAAGATGCTTTTTCAGCTTGAGGTCTGTGTGCCCTGCACAGCAGGACTGTGCAGTGAGACGCACCTGAGCAAACGGCRCTGGCGTCCTCCACGTGCACACAGTTGTGCACCAGCCATCCTCTGCTGGGGCACTCCCAGACGTGAGCCTCRTTCCCCCTGCAGTGCACGTCATCAAGCAGGATTCTGCCTGAGCCTTGGCTAAAATTGGCATTTCCAGGGGCAGAAACCGCCTGGCCACAGCCCAACTGGTTGCAGACAACCTGGGCATCCGTCAGGTCCCAGGAGTCGTCGCAGACCGTTCCCCAGCTGCCCTCGTAGTAGATTTCAACACGGCCCTCGCAGTGGTGGTGGCCATTCACCAGCCTCAGAGAGAACTCTTTGCAAGGCAAAAAGAAAAAGGAAATGTTATTTATGGGGGACATTGCCACGTCATCAGGTCTTCAGGTGGCTGTTGCAAATCCAAGGCAATAATAAGAACTTTACAACAGTAAGTGGCATTAGCTGTGATTTAGTTTTGCTCTGGATCTGATAATGCAATCAAAGGCAATGGACTGACCTGGAATACTTCCGATTTTTTTTTCTTGGATGCAAAATTTTGAAATCATGACTAATGTGAATTCAGTAAAAACTTGAAGATAAACATATTCCTAACTGCATCTTAGGAATTCATGTATGATATTGTTAAAATCCCACAGAGATGCATATTCATGAAGTCGGAGATATATAAACTGAATTGTATATGATGGAGGAGATTGACAAAAGGATTCACAAATGCTCCTCGTAAATTGTACACTGTTATTAAACAAATATATTAGGCAAAATCAATAGATCAAGCACTTGACCACTTGATCAGCATTTTTTAGTATTTTTTTACATATATAAATAGGAAGTATAAGTATAGAAAAAAAAGSTGAAAATTACCAGAAATTTCAGACATCATGGAAGCTGGAAAAAAAAAATGATGTGAGAAATATCACATTTTTGGCAACTTGCACTAAACACAATGAGAACAAACATTCTTAGTTTGCCTGCACTGCTGGAAAAACAACACAAAGCCAACCCTTGGTACACTGGAATTTTGTTTTACCAGCTTTTTGTTTTTTAAAGCTATGCCAGTTTATATGCTGAATGTAGAAAAATAAGTGTGATGAAAGATTTTTCTACATTCATAACGAAATCTCTACTTTTTTTCCTCAGGGGCTCTTATGAACAGCTGATTGATTTCAACCCTTAGCTGGAAAGCAGTGTGCACAGCAAGGTCAATAATCCTCTGAATGGTGTTACCCTCCGCAAGAAAAGTAAACCTAAGTATTTCAGAGGGTTTTTTTCAATTAGGGGTTTTATTGAGAAGGCTCCTGTGTGGTGTCCCGGGTAGGAAGCAACCGTTGAAAGCCCTGGGATGTGCTGAGGAGCTCGGCAGCCATTTGGATGGTGTAGCTGCCCTCTGCGGAGCAGCGGGCAGGCCGGGCCGGCCGGCGTCACCTGTGCAGATGACKGCGGCGTCCTCGTGGTGCTGACAGTCGCAGACGGCCCAGCCGTTGTGAGGGCAGTGCCAGAGGGAGGCCTCGTTGCCACAGCACTGCACCTCTTCCAGCAGAATGGCCCCGGTGCCCTGGCCGAAGTGGGCCCGGCCCGGCGCCGCCATGGCCCTGCCGCAGCCCAGCTGGCCGCACACCACGGCGCCGTCGGCCGTGTCCCACGAGTCGTCACACACCGTGCCCCATGCGCCGCCGTGCAGCACCTCCACGCAGCCCTGGCACCTGTCCGGCCCGTCCGCCAGCCTCAGCTGCGGCTCTGGGGCAGGAGGAAGCGAGGGCTTTGGTGCCAGGGCCCTGGCCAGGCCCTCCGTCCTGGTGCGAGTGGAGCACGAGGCTCCTGCCATAGAGGAGACCCTCGGGTACACCCGAAATTAGGTTGTGTACAGGCGTGGACCTTCCTTCCTTCCTTTCCTCCCTTCCTCCCTCCCTCCCTCCATATATACAAACAAACAAACTGCAGGACTATGGCTGAATATCCCCTTCAATATTAACATTTACCAAATCTAGACTGTTATAAAAGGTGTTGAAGAAAGATTTTTTTTTTCCAAGTATATTTGGTTTCATGCATATTTGTTGCAGAAAAAAAAAAAAAGGTAGGAGGTGCTCTTACAGTACAGAAGGAATGCTCTTCCCTTCTTTTTAGATATTGTAAGAAACATTAGAAAACTGAATGAGTAAAACTCAGRCTCCAGGAGACAGGGAGCCAGGCTCAGCTTTTAGCCCAGACTAAGAACACAGCAGGACTGAAGAATGGTATTGCTCTTACCTGCCTGCAGGTGTTCCCTTCCAGCTGTCATTATATTTATCTGAGCCCCTCCAATGCCCTTCATCAAATTAATTACTTATCAGGTGCATTTGTCCTTAGCAGACCGGTTTCCTATAACGCATTAAGCGAAGTCAAATAAAAGTTTGCTGGCACCTTCATGCCCTGTAGACCCCAGCGTAGCAGCTTCACAGCGGCCTTGGGCTGGGGTGCACCATGTGGTGGCTTTGCGAGGAAGCGGAGGTGAGAGGGAGCCGGGCATGTACCTGAGCTGTGCAGGCGGCCTCCATGCACTAGCAGCAGCAGCAGGAGCCAGGACAAGGGCAGCGCAGACCTCATTTCCCCAGTGATCCAGGTGATGCCGGCATTTGGAAACACCTTTCCAAATTTATAGGCACGTAGCTTTCGAGGGGTGTGTTCTGCGGCTCAGACAGCCTTACTTATTCCAGGTTAGCAATTTCATGCAGCGCAGGTGCTTTGAACTTTTAAAAACAACCTCTTAATTTTTTTTGGCAAGACTTTTTTTATAGGAGCTTGGTTTTTTTTGATTGCCTTAATTTTTGCTGTCAGCCCTTCTGCTCTATGGAAATGGAGGTGAAACCCTCCCCTTAGCATATCCAATAGCACCAATGGCTTCAAAAGCAACAAGACACATGCAGTCAGGGAGAAAATTAATGAGCCCAGATGAAAAATCATGAAATCGTGGCCTTTTTTCTTTCTTTTTTAATTTTTCACTGTGCACTTTTCCCACTGTCCTGACATGGAGCTGGTCAGTTGCAGTGTCCCTTCCTGGGGTGCAGTGGTGTGAACCGAGAAGGTTTTGAAGCTCTGCAGTGAGCCCATGTGCACAAAGGGGCAAAAATAGCTTGTATTTTTTTCCCAAAATGCAGTGCAAAAAAAAAAAAAAAAAAAAAAAAAAAAACCCTTAACACTATGAATTTGTATCTTTCTTTTAGTATAACCTGATCTTTCTAAATAGCTGATTTTCATCTTGCTGCAGTTTTCTTTGAGCACTGCAGAGTCTTCAGAGTGGTGGCAGAGCTGTAAAGTTTCTTCTCTACAGCTTATGATAAATTCACTCATTTCAGAAAGAACAGGCAAAACAATCTGCTTGGATATGTTCCAGGCAATTCACAGCAAAAGAGTTATTTGAGGCAAATGTTATATGAGGCAATGAAAACATATCTCATTCCCCTGAGTAAAAGAGTTGGGTCACTGGCCAGTATCTTTGACTGGGCATGACTTTGTTAAAATGTATTTTTATGTCAGAGTGCTTGAGCCTGAGATAGAAAACTTCCTAAAAACACAATCTGTTGTGAGAGTTTTAATTTCTCCTTAGCCTTCGACCAGATAGAAATAAACTACTGAAACAAATAAAATTTACATTAAAAATAATTATGAAAATAAAAGCAAACAGGATAAAAAATGCACAAGGAAAATCTGTTCTCTTTGTAATGTATGGGTTTAATAGAAATTGTACAAGCTCTAGATTCTTTTCTTCATCAACGTATCACAAATAAGGGAAAATGATTTATTTTTAATTGCGGCAGGGAGATTTACTAATGTGTTAGACAAAGGAGCAGCCCCGAACTGGTTGCTGTCTGCATGACTTACCATGTAAGCGCAATTCTTGTAAAATCCTGTAAAAAAAAAAAAAAAAAGGAAAAAAGAAAAAAAGAAAAACACTTGCTCTGCACTGCTCTGGTGCATCTGATGCACTTATTTTAGAAAAAAAATAGTAATGAATGTCAGTCAAATGAAAACGATCTCTGGATTTCATTCATGTAGCTGTTTATTCAGTTTGTTGCAAATGTTCAGTCTTAGGCATTGAAKACACCTCAACTAAAGCAGTGAGCAGCGAGTTGTGCTTCACTGCTTAACTCAGAGGCTTCATGTCAGTGATTATCTTTGGGCTTTTATGGCAAAGCATGGCAAGGAAGTAAAGCAAACATGAAAAATAGCGATTTTTACCCATTCCCTGCAAAACAAAACTACTTCACTTATTTTCTTAGTCTCAGTCTTCAAAGCAGGGATATATATTCTTAAATACTCAAACATGAGTCTATTGGTTATCTGTGGGATACAGAAACAAAACAGTGTTTATTTATACCCAACTATAAATATTTTTATAATATGTTCATGGGAAGCAGGCCTAGGAGTCAAATTATCTGCTTCATACTCCAAAATTAGAACAGAAATTTAAACAGGGCACCAAAGCACAGGAAATTCAGCATATAAACAAGCAAACAAAAAAAATTTTTTGAGTTTTGCTTTAAAAGGAGCACAGGCCAAATACACAACCGTGCTGGGAGCAGCACACCAGCAAGAACCAGTAAGGTCTGTACAATTTTTCTAACAAAAAGCTTTACTGGTATGAGGGCAGATCGCTCTGTTCATCCTCTTCCCATAAAAATCCTTCTCAAGATGCTGCAGGAGAGTTGGCTGAGGAGCTTCCCTGCGTGGCCGGTGATAAACCAGTGACAACTGAGCACCCAATTGGAAACAGTTTAAGGAGATAAATTTCATTTATTGGATCCACACATAAAACTTTGACCTATAGCAAAGATAATAAAATGCTTTTTCTTCAGAAAAAAAAATGGAAAAGGAAAAAAAAAGAGAGGGCACCTCAGTAAACAGTTTCTGGTCATATTTTTTTAAGTTCCTGTGTTGTCATCTAGGACATGAGAGGCAAAAATCCTAGGCCTTGCTTTCCACTTGAGTATGCCTGGTGGTGACTCCTTAGGTGGGATTTGAGTGTTTGTATTTCCAGGATTTTTCAGCCCAATTCATGAATGTGTGCAATGTACTTGCACAGGCTGGCTATATCCTGGRAAGCTGAAATCCTCACAGCAAAAACCATGCAAATTGTGGTGAAAAAAAAAAAAAAGACTGTTATTACAATCAGCAACTAAAATGTTAAAGACAGAACATAACATTTCCCTCAGGTATACAGATATGAAGTGTTTTTTGACATTTCCGTGACATTTTGCTGAGATGTGAAAAAAATCTCCTGAATGAGATTCAAGTGCCTTGAATGAGATTTAGAGCTATGCCCACTTCAGAGCTGTATCCAAAGAGCCACTGATGCCARTGGGAGGATTTCCAATTGAACCGAGAAGCCTTTAGATCAGACTGTGTGTCCCAGCCTTAAATACTGCAAACAAAACATCTTTAATACTTCAGGATTTTGGAGTTTGACTCATTTAGTCTAGAGACGCAAAAATTAATGGAAGGACATCTGTCTTCGGATACGTAAAAATCTCTCAAAGAGTGATGCTAGCCATCAGGGATGGTTTTTAAGGAGTCAGGGGAACATCTGTGGGCTACGTTAGAGCTGAGTGGAGGTGGGGAAGRAGGAGCATGAGGGAAGGTGGCAGCAGGACGTGGCCTTTGCTGGGACGAGTGCGGAGTGACAGGGAGCCAAGGCCATGGCAGCACTCGTGGGAGTGGTGGTTGACGTGAAGTGGTAGCAGAACTGGCAAGAGTGGGGGAACTGCAATAGTATTTACACCAAAATCCTTGGGGAACCCTTTTATAGATGACTTCTTGGTTTTACTTTTGCTATGGGGATTTATTTTCCTTATTTTGTTTTAATCCATCCCTTAGAGTTTAACTCTATAAAATGTTTTCTACACATGTAGATGTATGTGCAGTCCTCATAGGAGACGGAGACTTCAAAACTCTTTGCAGCAGGGTGTAGAAGTATTTCAAATACAGTCAAGAAAGTMATGTATTGGAGAGGGAGTATTTTCTGCAATAATGCAGAGCAATACCCACTCCTTGCTCAGAGGTAGTAGACCTTTTCCTGTTTATTTATAAACAAAGTCTGAGATGTCTATTTGGGAAAAGAATTGCAAGATCCTGGCTTACAAACACCCTTGTATGCTGAAGCATGTCTATCAGAACACAGACTAGCTGTTCTATAACTCATTACAATTTTCTGGTTTTTTTTTTTTTTTCATTTTTCTTAGGGAGGCTCCCTGGCTGTCTGTTCCTGTCCCCTGCACCCTAAGAACGTTTATGCCTGTTGAAAACTTTCAGACAGATTTGGCAGAGTTCACAATTTTCTGGAGAACCTGAAGGCTGTGATACAGAAACACAGAAAATCTGTGCTCATAAATGCTGCTTTTCTCGAAGGTGCTTGTTTTAGACGTTGGCCCCATGTTCTACTCTCCTTCTAACCCTCACTTGTGCCAGCCTCTGCAGCTTGCCTGCACTGGGAACAGAAAGCCCCTAAATGCAATGATTTTCTTGGCATGAGCTAGTTAGGAAGCTCCTGTTACCTATTCTGAAGTCCACATCTCTGGTTGTGCTTTGGCAATAGCAGTGGATGGTGGAAGGTTGCTGGGGATAAAATGAGCCATCTGTTCTGGAGTTCCTTTGGAGTCTCCAGAACAACCTGCATCATTGGGCATCACTGAGTCTGGGATACCCAGGAGAAAGTAACGGAGACCAAAAGAAAAGGCATTTCTGAATCAAGTGTCAATGAGCTCATCTCCCATGACAGATGGCTTGCTAAACCCAGGCATTTGCTGTACATTTGCATGTGCAAAAGAATGATCTCATTCCTTATGAAGCCTACATAAGCTTTTTTTCATATTCCCTTTTCAGTAATTTGAAAGCAGGGGTTTGGTGTGTGTTACTTGGCAAAGTTTCCTTCTGACAGATCACACTCTTCAACACAGTAAAACTTTCATTTGGATTTTAATCTCAAGGACATTAATTTGAAACGCAGAATAGAAATATTGGTTTGTAAACATTCCTTCCTTTGATTTTAAATTACATTGCTCTTGTAACAGATTAGTCTGGAATTAACTGTATTTTATAACTAATCACAGACCTATTACTGTTTCAATGAGAAATTCCGCATTAAAAACATGCTCAGAATAATTAGAAATATTGTGTAGCCACAATTTCAGATGTCACGGTAAGATACTTCTTTGTATTTCCTTTCCAGTCATGACTGATTATTCCTTCCAAAACTCAGACTTTCTCCATTCTAATAAAGCTTGAAATATTTACTGATGCCTTATGCATATTTTTCTTCTATCTCACAAAATTTTGATGTATTAAATAAAAGATCCTAGAAGGATGAGAAGATAATTAAGGAGGAGAAAAAATGATCGTACCAAATAACTTGCTAAGTGAATCTTGAAATTAACTCATAATCATCTAAGAGGTGTTAGGATTGCAAAGTTTTTTTAAAAACATTGTAATAGGTTAGGATTTACTGTAGATAAAGGTATCACAGCTTCTTCAAAATGGCACATAGGAGCCAGTTGTCCATGAAATATTTGGGCAGCTCAGAATTTGTGGTTTGTGCTGTAATCACGTAGCAGATGATGCTGACTTTTGATCTCACATTGCCCTATATGAGAGCGGTTTCTTCAAAGCAGGTCTCACGAGAAAACCAGCAAGAACGAACACGGCAACTGCCAGCACTGCCACAGCAGCAATCAGTGGGTTATCAGCGACGGCGGGCACTGCCTGAGGAGCAGCGACGGAGGAGTCCAGTCCTGTGAGTGAAGGCAGAGAGTATTTGCACTAGTTACACTAAAGACAAAATGCTGCTAGGCTGAAAAGGTGGCTTTCTAGAGTAGAGCCAGAAATAAACTAACTTGCTACAGTTTCTTAGCTTTAAACCTTTTGAACAGACTTTAAACTGACAACAATTGCAACTTAACTAAGCAAACTTCACTACTGGAAGAAGGCTGAGGAAATTAAATGTTTCTAACGAAGACCGGGAGCCTGTTTTACATGAGTAGACTTGGTAATTATGTTACACAGTCACACTGGAGCTATTCAGCTCCACAAATTAATAGTACTGAAGCATGCTATTAATTACATGCTCASTCTCCTTCAGGACAGCCGGGCTAAACATAAACTTCGTGTATATGGTGAAGATAGCAAAAGCAAATTTCAGGGACAAATGTCAGAAAAGGACAGGCAGAACTATAATTTTTCATGAAGACCTCAAGCAATCTTAGACTGAATATGAGAAAACTTTTGTGACATTACCAGTACTCTTTCCCTTAGCACTATCTTCTCGAAGTTGAAGAGGTCCAACAACAACATCCACTTTTTCCTGGGCAGAACTCAGGTCTCTCTTSGACCTATTCATGCAGCCTTGGTAGCAGCGAGAGGAATAGTCTCTTAGCCTACACACGTCCAGTTCACACTTCATATAGACTGATGTGTGGCGCTTAATAAACTCAAAGGCATTAAACTTGAAACGGGCAAGATATTTGTAGGGGGAGTAGAACGTGGAAAAAGAAGAATCTCTAGCACATCTAGAAAGAAATGAAAAAGAGGATTAGTTTATATCTATTCACATAGGGCTAAATATGTACTTACCTGCTATAATGGAATACATTAAAACAAAATGAAGTAATAACCATCTACTAGGTCACCCCAAAGGGATGACTTTTATAGAATGTCTAAGAATGTGGAAATCCTACGAGTCAGAGCAACCTCAACACTTCTTCCCAAAGRAAGGAGAATATAATTGGTGAAGAGAGGACATTGGACTCTGCTAAATATCTGTGCTTTACCAGGGATAGAAGGTGGGCCTAATACTTGACTGAGATTTCCAGAATTTACTAGGGTATTAAACAACTATGGTAACAGACTTTTGCCTTCAGTTTTCACTAGCTCATTTACCTCACACCCACCGATTTGGGTTTGTAAATAGGGCAAGAAGCAAGTCRGTGAAACAAAATTTTGGTAAGGTCTGGATGTCCTTTCTTATTTCCAGACTGATATTTTAAAAAAGAAAACTTCAAAAAACTCTTTAATGGTCTTTTGATGATGAGATCTAAACCAATTCACACTGGCTGTATTTTCCTTTTATAATAAATGTAGAAAGATGATTACCACYGTGCTTCTAATGACTTTTGAGAAAGTTCTTACCCATTTTTGATTATATAATAGACCAGAGTGTTAAAATCATAAGGATCCGGTGATGCCACACATGTGTCCACAAACAACATAAGATCTTTGTCAGAGCTGTGAAGATAAGCTTGAAGGAACACATTTTGGTTCAAGTCAATGTAGTATGGAGAGTCGTACACTGGCTGCAAGAATGAGGCTGAATCATAAAATGTGATGTTCGCTTCGTATCTTCCAAACTGATTTTCATTCACGTCTGCAATATCCTCAGCAGTGTACATGACTTGTATCCATGTGTTCTGGAGCATTTTGCAGCTGATATGTAAATGAAGATCCTTTTTCCTCTTGATTATGTAACCAGAAGAAGCTGCTTTGATCATGTTGGAATAGTTGATCGTATCATTGTTTTCCTATTTAGGGTGTAATTTAAAATAAGCAATGGCACTTCTGTCACATTCCATATTCTAAGCTTTGATAGAGATTAATGATGCAGATTCCTCTTAAACTCTTTGGACAAATAAGTTTGTTTTTGGTCTTTTCTATTCATACAATATTGCAAATAAATTACTTGACTATGGAATATATAGTTGAATAGGACTAAGTGGAAAAAAAATCTTCACTAAATCCAAGGCAGATCAACTCATTTAACATATGTAGAAAACACTGATTGTGTAACACACAAACACCCTAAATCAGCACAGTACTTAGAAGACTATATTTGCTTTAAAGCTACAGTACTTAAAAGACTAGATATGCTTTAAAGCTTATAGCTTGTTTTATTGGAGTCACCATAAGCTTAAATGCACCATAAGCTTAAATGCTTTGGTGAACTTAGGCATGGTCAGTGTAAAATGCCATTAGTGAGGTAATGCCACATCAAGCTCAGAAAAAAAAAAATCAAATAGCATGAAATGAGAAATATGTCAAGTAACAACATGGAAAGTTCATGCAACGTCCTCCCATGCTTTCCTCCCTAGAAGTTCATTTCTAATAAACACAGGAATTCCCTAAGGTGCTGAAAGTTTAAGCATTAGAAACTCCTGGTTCTCACAGTTCTCTTTTAGTTACTGTGGACCAGTGCACCTTTCATGACTCATTTCAGAAGGGGTCCTGCAATTCACCCAGCTTTAAGCATACCTGTCGTACTGTCCCACAGTCGTTGTAGGGAACGTTGAATATAACCTCCTGTGATGTGACTGTTGGTCTACAGCGAGTATCGCTCATGGTGAGACTCTGCACAGAATAGCCTTGTGACTGGAGATAGTCTCTGCTAATCACAGCACGCATGTAGTCTGGTAAGCAGAAAAGAGCTAGAAGATACAAAATATTTGTGATTTGGGGGATTTTGGTTTTGATTTCAAGTTGTAATTTAATCAGTCTTAATTTAGAAGGTAGGCAAATCATATACCAGTACATCATATTTCACATATAACATTACATTTCCATGATATCTTGAACATTCAATACACAGTAAGAGCCTTGAAAGCTTCTAGAATGCCTTAGGTTACTATGGCAAAGCATCAAATTCTCATTTTTTCGCTTTGTAATCAGAATGTGTGACAAGAAAGGTATGAGGCCCAGTTGACATTATTACAGACACATGACTTGGTGAAAATCTAGTTGAAGTCATTTGTGATTTTGCTTAAGAACATATCTTGTAAACAGAGCAAGACACTGGATTGAAGTCTGTGCACTTGGCCATTTTCTCCAATCTGTGCTTCGTCAGTGGCAGCAATCTTGTGAGTACTATTCACACCAAGGATTGCAAAAGCATAGATGTTGATTARGTTCACATGTGTCTTAGATCAACTTCTTCACATGCATTTGAAACTCCAAAAATAGGACAGAAATTATTCAACAGCATTAACAAATATTTATTTCKCAAACAAAACCAATGACCAGGTTTTTCTCTTGAGAAACAGAGTTCTGCTTTCAACAGGAACTTACTGGTGTTGTGGCCTGCTGGAATAGAAGAGTAATGGGCCTGAAACCCTCTATATGTGTATCTAGAATCACTGTGAAACCGAACAGTCATCAGATTTGAAGAAGATGTGTAAGTGTGAAGGGAACCAGCACAGATTTTCCCAAGAAGAGGCGAGGAATGCAGAGGCCCATCATAAACTTCAACATAGTCATGCTGGCATCTCTTGCGTTTCATGTTGCTTTGCATCCTGGGGAACAAATGTCAGCATCTTGTCAAATATGCTTCATAATTTCTGATTTAATCGCAAAATATAATCATTCAGAATTTAAAATTTTCATGGAATTATATTTCCTATAAGCAGTAGCAAATATACTGTTCTGTCCACAAAATCCTATGATAATTCAGTTTTTATTTTAGTCTTCTAAATGTCTTGAAAAAGCTTGATATTCTTGAAAATATCCTTAAGATTGAGAGGCTTGCCTGTTTCACACAGGTTCTGACTTTGCTATTTGCTGAGGGAATCATAGCTTTACTTACACAATATCTCTAAATGTGAGCACAACACGGAAATTGTTCTGTACGTGTATTTCCCACACACAGTCAGCATTGTTTGGATAATGTCCAGGGTAGAATGGACTCTCCAGCAACCCAGAGGAATTTGAAAATAAGCCACCACAAGAAAGAGTTCCTGCAGAAGGAAATGGAAAAGAATTTACACATATTAACCTCTACAAAACTGTACTAGAGAGCTCCAGTCCACATCCACTGATTTAAAGAAAAAGAACTCCTGATGACTTCAGATCATACAGTATATGACCAAAATCGAAACTAAATAAACTCATTCTCAGTAGCTCACAGGCTTAGCTATATGTATAGGAAGATATACCTAACAAAATCAGGAACAACCAATGAAAATTGTTGCTAATGTTAATGTATTTTGGATTAAACATATGCCCAGACACTGCCCGACCTGCTCTCTGCTTTGAACAGAGGTGCCTGGTCTGGAGGTGCCATGCTGGTCATAAAGAACTCAGAAATAATAAAGCTGCAGGGCTTACAAGAATCTTTGTAGTAGGTCACAAAAATAAAAAAGCAGCAGGCTGACCCTTAAGGAGATCAAGTGCTTCTCCATTAGAAAAGCTGCAAAAGCATTTCATGTTTATGTAAAGATGAACAAATCTGTAGAGTAAAAGCATTGTTACACTTATATGGCTTGCTGAATTGAGGCTAACACCTCAGACGGACACCACTCACCTGTTGAGTATGGCRCTGATGGAGGGGTGCTTGGGTTAATACCTTAAAGGAAGAAAAAGCAAAAAAGGAATGGGGACCAAATCCTGCATGCACATTGTGAAACAAGAGGACAGCAAGGCTGGTGAACCAGCAGGAGAACGGAGCAGAACAGACAGACCTGCGGCACCTCCATCGCCCAYCTACCTGCACAGATGACACCGGCATCTTCCCCATGGACACAGTTGTGCCTGCCCCAGCCGTTGTGGCGGCACTGCTGCAGGGAGGACTCGTAGCCTCCACACTGCACGTTGTCCAGGAGGATTGGCCCGGAGCCGGGCCCGAAGCGAGCGTTTCCCAGCGCTGCCCTAGCGYGGCCGCAGCCCAGCTGCCTGCACACCACGTGGGCGTCGCTCATGCCCCAGGCGTCGTCGCACACCGTGCCCCAGCCGCTGCCGTCAAACACCTCCACGCGGCCTTCGCACTCGTTGCTGCCGCCCACCAGACGCAGCTGCACCTCTGTGACGCAGAGACGCCACGTCATGGCCCGGCCAGCCCCATCCGCACCGAGCAGCCCCACGTGGATRCCACACGGCTCTGGYGGCCCCCAGGACACCAGCCTGTGCCTGTGCCCGGTCCYCGTGGGGCTGCAGGGAGGGCGGCTACTCGGGGCGCGAGCGAGGGGAATAGTCCCCAGGGAGTGTTACCTGCGGCCGTGCCGTTCCCGTCGGGGGTTGCTGTGGGTGCAGAGGAAGAAGAGCCGCGCGTGAGCCTGGCTGCTCTGCAGGGCACAGGCGAGCTGCACCGCACACACGGCCCCGGCCGCAGCCGCCAGCGCCGGGACGGAGCGAGGCCGGGGCGGTGCTGCAGGGCAGCGGCTGCGGCTTTGCGCCGCGCACGGTGACACCCGAGAGGGCGCCTCTCCTGGGGGACACCGCTCTGCCATGGCCGTGGCAGCGCAGGGACCACGGGCTGAAAAGTCCTTGTCCGTGTGGCTCCATTCCTGCCCCACATCCCTCCTGCCACCCAGGGCTTTCACGGGGACGTGGGATGGGAACAACACACTGAAATGACCTGTCCCGGAGGTCTCCAGCACTACTCCCTTTTGCAGACCACTGGGGTCCCTCAGTGACCACAGTGGCTCGCTCTTACGCTCCCAGGTAAAGGACCTCATGGCTCAAGGAGACGCCAGATCCCATCCCAAAGAATGCCTGCCTGGGTCCCTGGAGTAAAATGTCCTTGTCAGGAGCAATACATGCACAAGAACACTTCCCAATGCCCTTTACAGCTGCTTGGGTCTACACCAAGCCACCCCAAGGAGCCACATGGCCTCTCATGTAGAACATGGGGGAGCAAGAGTCCGGTATCATCAGCCACCACAATTCCCTCTGCTCTCATCTTACTCCTCTGCTCTGCGCTCATTTGGGAAGTGCGTCCTGTAATGTCCCTAATGCCTCAGACAGGTTCACCTCACCTGTTGAGTATGGCCATGCCGGAGGAGAACTGGTTTGTGAGGCTGCATGGAAAAAAAACCAAACAAGAAATGCAATTAACATCAGATGGCGTAATGCTTGACATGGGAAATGGCCTCTAGGGACCATGTACTGCAACCCTGCTGCTCAAGCCTGCCCCCAGAGAGCACATGGCCACAGACCCTGTCCAGGCAGGTATGGACATCTCCAAGGATGGAGACTACACAGACTCTCTGGGGCATCTCCTCCAATACTTTTCTAGACAATATTAGCATGGCTACCAGAATACAGCTCAAGCACTTTCATATGCCTGGCAGATGACACAGCAAACCCGAGGCACCTCCATCACCCACCTACCTGCACAGATGACACTGGCGTCTTCCCTGTGGCCGCAGTTGTGCCTGCCCCAGCCGTTGTGGCGGCACTGC